ACCAAAAAAAAGGTCCTCCAAGGTCAAGAAGGGAGAGTGTTGACATGTCATGGGTTTGTTAACCAATGTCATAAAACAATATGTGTAATGACTGTTTAATGAGAAACTATTTGTTCTGTAAACCTTCATCAAAAGTACAATAAAAAAAAATTAAAAAAAAAAACATTTCTTGTAGTGCAGGTCTGCTGGTGATGAATTCTATCAGTTTTTTATATCTTAAAACATCTTTATTTCATCTTTGTTTTTGAAACATAATTTTGCAAGGTCATCTAGATTGGCAGTTGTTTTTCTTGTTGTTCAGGACTTTAAAGATATTGTTCTATTTGGATTGTTTCTGATGATAAATCTTATGTCATCTTTAATTTTGTTCCTCTGTACCTAACATTTTTTGAAAGATTTTCTCTTGTCACTGATTTTGAGCAATTTGATTATGATGTGCCTTAGTATAGTTTTCTTCGTGTTTCTTGTGCTTCAGGTTTGTTGTGCATTCAGGATCTGTGGGTTTATAGTTTTAATTAAGTTTGGAAAGATTTTGGCCACATTTATTTTTTTTCTGTCCCACTCTTTCTCATCTTTCCTTCTAGACCTCTAATTACTCACATATTAGGCTACTCGAAGCTGTTCCACAGCTCACTGATGGCTCTTTTCATCTATTTTTGGTGGGGGAGAGGGGAATGTTCTTTTTTTCTCTGTTTTATTTTTGATGGTTTCTATTGCTATGCCTTCAATTTCACTTACCTTCTGCAATATCTATCATTAATCCCATCCAGTGTATTTTTCATCCCCAACATTATAGTTTCATCTCTAGAAGTTCAATTTGGGTCTTTTTTATATGTTCCATGTCTCTCCTTAACTTTTTGAACATATGGAATATAGTCAAAATTGTTTTAACATCCTTCTTTACTAGTTCTAACATCTGTGTCAGTTTCAATTGAATGACTACCCTCCTCATATAGGTTGTGTTTTCCTGCCTCTTTGCAAGCCTGGCTTTTTTTTTTCTTGGATGCCAGACATTGTGCATTTTATCCTGTTGAGGGCTGGATATTTTTGTATTCCTATAAAGCTTCTTGAGCTCTGTTCTGGTATGGTTACTTGAAAACAGTTTGATATTTTCAGGTCTTGATTTTGTGATTTGTTAGGTGGGTTTGGAGGAGGAAGAGATGAAGATGAGTGAGGCATTAGTGGATACACAAGCTCAGGCACTAACCTCAGCAGTCAAAACTCGAAGATGGACGTAGTGCAGTCTCAGCCTATAAAAATGGTGTGACGGGGTGGCATCTGACCTCCTCTAACTTCACAAGGGGGAAGGAGAATCAAGATCAGCAGCCCAAGGCTGATTCCTTTGAGGCAGAGGTCAGACATGGCTCCTCTCTCTCCTCTTTTTACCAATTCTGACGCCAACCATCCCTCCCGCAGCACTCTCTACTTCTCTGCTGGGTTTGATAATTTGTTGCAGTGGCCACACCGAACTCACAGACCATACTCACAGTTATGGGGTTTATTAAGGAAGTAACAGGTTACAATTCAGGTTCAGGAACACTCAGTATACAGTGCTCAGGATACAGTTCTTTGATCAGGACAGCCTCTTCTCAGCTGTGCTTGCAGGCACACCTCTCTCTGGCCCCTTAGCCTCTTGGCCCCTCATCCCGGCCTCTGACCTGCTCAGGCAAGTGTTACCAAGCTCTTTTAGCTTTGCCGATAAGTGCCCGGAGGCACCCCTCTCCACCAGTAAGCCTCATGCCTGAAGGCGCTCAGCTTTCTCCCTCCGTGGGCTGGGAAGCCCCACCACAGCCGTCTCACACCAGTCTCCTGATTCCTGCCATCTCTTGTTGTCTTCCATGTTATAGCTCCTCCTGGATCTAGGAGGTTCTCAGCTCAGGGATCCCAGGTCCAACGGATGCACTCTACTCCTGGCTTTTCTTTCTTGGTGATGTTGAGAGCCTCCCTTCTTGCCTCTGGGATGGCTCATTTTAAGCCTAGTGGGATGGTAAAACTGACCAATCCCCTCATTAGGGTTCCGTAGACCTTATTTGCATGGTTCTACCCCCACAAGGGTGCCAAGCACCTTATTTACATTATTAGCAAGCTACCAATCCCATTGGTGGGCCACAAGCACCTCATTTGCATAGTGCCACCCAATCATTTGGTGGGAGTAACTGAAACTATGGCTAGAAGAGCCATATTAAGTAATTCATTGCTTCACACAGTCTCACCTTAGTCCTCCCCTTCCTGAGGTGGTGGCTGCATGAAGAATGAAGAGGGCCGAGGGCTAAAGTGTTTCCCAGCTGGACTTGGGGTGGGGGGACCCTCATGGGACCCAAAGCCTCATCACGGGAAGAAATCAGGCCTCAAATGCAGCACTGGAACAGCTACCAACAGAGCTCTCCAGGAAGAGAACCACCTGGCATCTTGTTCAGACCTGTCCTTGATGATCAAGCCAAGTGCCTTGGGAAGACTTCACATTGCTCAGGGCCTCAGCTGACTTGTAAGCTGCTCTGCCTAGCTCATAAGATGTTCTGTCCTGGGAGTAAAGGATGTAAAAGCATGCTGAGTCTCTGACCTTGAGACCCTAGCCCTTTTCACACACCTGCCTAGCCAACCTAACCCACTGGAAATGTTCCTAGAGGTGCCTTGAGATTTATGGTCAGAAGCCCTGCAGATGGAGACTAAGGCTAGTTGTGTGGGAGACCAAGGAACCCTGGATTCTGAATACCAGTCACTTGCCCTCCACTTCCCTGCAAGGCAAGGCAGACTCTGCCTGGGGAGGTAGTCTCCTCCCTATGTACTCATTTCTGACTGGAACCTAGGGTGGGTGGTCTCCTACTCTCCAGACTCAAAGGCCTAAGAGCACCAGGAGTGTCACCTGGAACCTCCAGACCTAGGCATTTCTCTCATTTCTTTCCTTCCATCCCTGATTCCCACCCCAGTCAGCTGGTAATGTCTGAAGATGAGAGGTCAAAGTTCCTGTCTGCCCTCTGGTCTCCAGTTGGGCAGCCTCTACACCAGACCTGCCCTCATCCAGTCTTCTCTGGAAGGGCCTGAGGAAACTGGGGCCACCTGACCAGACCAAGCGGCTCACCCAAGGCCATGTCACTGGCTGCCTCTGGTTGACAGCGCCTGGCTCCCAGCTTCTCATATGTGCCCCCAAAGGTTCCTCTGGTAGGATATGGCGACCCAGGTCATCTTTGTATCCCCAGCACCCCCTACGGACCCAGGAGAGCCTCTAAGCATGGTCAGCTGCCAGAACATCTATGTTCTTGGCCACTCTGATCACCTGCCAGAGTCTTGGGTTTTCCGAACTAGATTATGGGCTACTGTTTACCTGAGGCGAGAAGGAAATAACACAGGTACAGACTCCTCAAAAGTTACATTTTAAAAAAACAATATGGCAACCATGTGGTTTCTGGAGGACAGGGGGCTGGTACGAAACCATAAACACACAGGTAGTTGTAGTCACGGGCAGTTGTCAGAAATAATAGAGATTCCTTGTACACTTTGCCTGGCTTCCCCCAATACTGAGGCAAAACTATAGTATAATATCACAACCAGAATACTGACATTAATATAATCCTCCAATCTTAACTCAGACTTTCCCAATAAGTATGTGTTATTTTGTCAGATCACAAAAGCTTTGACCTAAGCTCACCTACTTAGCTAGTTGCCTGTGACCAGAGGACCTCCTCCCGCTGCTCCATCTGTGTCCCCCGAACTGGAAAGAGGTGAACAGGGGGTAGTTAACATTCAGGGCGTATTATGTGTCAGGCTCTTTACCCATGTCATCATTTAATACAACAGCCTGTTTTACAGACATTAAGACTGAGGCACAGAGATGGTGCATGGGCCTGAGGTCCCAAGGCTCGGCAGGAGCTAACCCAGCTCGGCCGACTATCTCTTGAGCACAGTCGAAAGCCCAGCACTAAGAGGCTTGGAGCATTCAACAAACACTAATGGAGGCTCGTGGGTCCCGAGCAGGGTACAACCGCCTAGGTTAAGCGTTAGAGCGTGGCTTGTCTGTCCTTTGGCTCCAACCAGAGAAGTGAGCGAGTTGGAGGCCGCTTACACGAGACAGCGGACGCAGGTCTCTGCCGCTAAACCGAGCTCCAGAGAACGGAGCTTTGGGCCAAGACCTTTGTCAGCCCCGGGGGACGCCGGGAAACCGCACGCCTCCCGACCTGCTCCTTCCCGACCGACCTCCTCCTCCAACTGCGTAGCCCTCGGCTGCCCCCTGCCGCTTTGGGGTAGATCCTGCAATTCCTGCCACCCTTGTCTTCGCCCCGCCCACCCTCCAGTCTCCGGATTGGCGGCTCCAGAGGTCCCCGGGCCGTCCCGCCCCCCGTCACCGGATTGGCTGCGCCCCTTGCTGAGACCCCGCCCATTTTCCCGGGTCCTTTGATCACGCGCCTGCTGGCTCTTCCGGGGCTCGGAAGCCAACGAGGGCGTTCCTGTCCGGGCTGCAGCGGCGGGAGGTAAGGCATGGCCGGCTTGGCGGGGTTGTGGGGGCAGTGGAGCGGGATCACGGCTCCACGCCTCGGGGTGATGCCAGGATGCCCGGGTGCGGGGCGGCCCCTCCGTGCGTCCCTAAACACTCTTCTCCCCGGCCTGAGCCTCCTAGTGCTGTGGGAACTACCGCCCGCCGCTGCTGGCCCGTATCCTAGGAGCGGCCTGACACCCTCCCTACTCCGGCTTTCCCGCACAGCCAGGGTACGGTGAGCACGCGACTGAGTACGGGCAAGCCGGGTGCCCCATGGACACGGGGGCAGGTAGCTCATACCTTGCTCTCAGATGGAGACCCAGGCGAACCCGGATCAGGGGACTTGAAGCATCTGAGGGTAGCCACCCCATACAGAGATCTGTGTGTATCTGTCGTCGGGGACTGACCCGTCCCATCTCTGCCCTGTCAGCCCCAGGCAGGAGAGGAGGGACCTGGGCGGAGCCTGGGGTAGGGATCAAAAAAGGTGACATCACTTTGCAGATACAGTCCAGCCACAGCACTCCTGCTCACTTGTGTTCACCCTGGCACATGAGACTGATGGGAGAGAGGGGTCCAGGTTATATATCTAGGGTGACACTAGGGACAAGGAGGGCAGAGAGCCCAGGCGTGGGTCCAGTAACCTGAAGTGTGGTGATTAGATCTGGACAGAGGCAAGCTCTTGCAAATGCTTCCACCTCACCCCTAGGCTGCAGGATCCTCCTGTGTGTACCTCATCTCCCTATTTGCCCCACTAGATGGGTGCCGGCTGTCCAACGCCCCAGGAGATCTGGGGCAGCAGCTGGGACCTGCAAGCATTTGGCCAGCACCTGAACTGGGCCCCATCCTGATTCAGGGATAGGAGCCGGGCAGGACTCAGCCCTGGGTCTGGACCTTCACTTGGTGCCCTTTACTCCCAGGATTTGCTGAGAGTTACTGGAGACTTATACCCAGCATACTTAGTGCAGGATCCCCAGTCCCGGTGTGTGATCTAAGTTTTTATAGATCTCCAGCTCTGGGGAGGGATCCAGAGTTTGGAGGTTACCCTGGGTGAAATGGATAACCTCCCTTCCTCCTCCCCAGGGAGCCCGGTGGAGGCGCCCTCCCGAAGCACTACACTGCCCATGCTGACTACCCGGCCCTCCGGCTCGGGCCGCCACTGCCGATGTCATGAGTAACACCACAGTACCCAATGTCCCCCAGGCCAACAGCGACTCCATGGTGGGCTACGTGTTGGGGCCTTTCTTCCTCATCACCCTGGTCGGGGTGGTGGTGGCTGTGGTAAGGAGCCACACACACCACACATACACACAACACACACACCTTTGCTAAGGCAGGGCTGGGTGGACCTTGTGCAGTCTAGTCTGCATGCAGCCTATCTCAGCCATCCTGCTGTTATGGGGGTGAAGGGTGTGGAGGTGGGGCCCCTCTTGCTTGTGGGCATTCCTGGGCTCAGCAACCTCCACAGTCCTCTTTTCTGTTACAGGTAATGTATGTACAGAAGAAAAAGCGGTGAGTGTCTTTTGGGTGGGGACCCTGCCCTGGTGCTACCTCCCCGCTATTCTGCTGAAATTTCTCCCCATAGGATCTGAGTTCTCTGCATACACATAGGATGCCCTTCAGCCCTCCTGACACAAGCCTGAAATTCCCTACCCGCTCAGGGTTATGTTTTCCTGCCCGAGCCTCACCTCACCCCCTAGGGAGAGGCCACTGCAGGAATGGGCATGTATTCTTAGAGCCCTTGCTCACCCTCAGAGCTAGGAAGTACCCCTGCCTAGGGGAGTGGAGACTAGGCAGTCAAGTGTCTAATAGGAAAGTGGGCTCCTGCGCTGAGCCTCCTATCTCCCCAGGGTGGACCGGCTTCGCCACCACCTGCTCCCCATGTACAGCTACGACCCTGCTGAGGAGCTGCACGAGGCTGAGCAAGAGCTCCTGTCTGATGTGGGAGACCCCAAGGTGAGTACTCTGGGGGCAGAGAGAACCAGGCAGAGGTAGGAGGCTGCTCTGTTGTCACGCGTACTCACCCCTAAAACCAGAGCCTGGTTCTGCCGTTAGCCCTCCCCTTTGGGGCTGAGTAGTGGGGGTGCTTCCTCCAAAATTGTGCCACTGACTCCCAAGGCCAGAGCCCAGCACTGTGGCAGTCTCCTCCCCCACAGGTGGTACATGGCTGGCAGAGCGGCTACCAGCACAAGCGGATACCATTGCTGGACGTCAAGACATGAACTGACCCCTTGCCCTGATATTCAGTGTTTGAGGCCCGTAGCCTGCTGCTTCCCCCCCTCCCACTCGCACTCACCCAGCCCCTTGCTGGGTACTGGGTCCCCATTCCTCCCACCTACCCCCAGCAGCACCCATTTCCCAAGCCCTGCCTGACAGGGAGCAGCCCCTACCTTCAGCCTTTTGTGAGCTCCGAGCTTGTACCCACCCACTGGCACAAATGGGAGGACAGCTTTTCCTTCTCAGGGTGGTGGCTGGGAGCTGTTTCTATGGTGAAAGGACCTGATGTATAATATTCAGTATATATATTTTGTAAATAAAATGTTTTGTGGCTAGGGGTGTGGTTGATTTCTTTAAAAGGTACTTAGGTTTCCTTCTCTGGAGCTGGTCTCAGTGCTATTCTCTTTCCCCCAGTGCCTAGCACAGCAGGGATGGAGCTCCTCCGAAGCACCACCCCCACCCACTGGATCCTTGGTTCCTGCCCTACCTCAGACTCTGGGGGTACCCATCACAAAAAAAGGCTCCAGTCCAGAAAAGGATATTTTTTTTATTCAAGTAACTGCAAATAGGAAACCAGAGGGGGGCCCCAGGCTGGGACAAATGATGGCTACCCCCTCCCCAACAGAACAAGGGGAGAGGGTGGCCCCTACACCCTGCCGGTCTCAATATGGGCCTCCCCTCCTCACTCTGCTGCAGCATCTTGGGGGCAGGGCCCCAACTTCCCTGGGACTGGGGTAGTCAGTAACCCAGCGTGCTGCACCCCAGCTCCCTTCCCCTTGAAGAACATCATCATCGGGGAGGTGAATGTGGGCAGAACGGGGAGGCGATGAGGATGAACATTTGGCGCTGGTAGCAGCAGCAGTGATGACGGATGTCCCAGAATGAAACATTGAACAAAAAAACAACACAACTGTCCAGAGGTAGTTTGTGAACAGAGGAAAGATGGAACCAGAACCTTGGGGGGCGGGGAGGAGCGGGAAAGGTGGGAGTGGGCAAGGCTAGCTCCCTGGTATTAGTGCCCCATCTGAAGGGGAAAACTGAGCCTAGAGCGGAAGCAGACAGGGTGGGTGCGTGGTCCCAGCCCACCTTAAGTGGCTGCCACAGGGACCCTGGGCCCCCTTGAGCCTACCTGGATAAATGGTGACTCAGGACCCCCATCAATGCAAACAGGGAAGGAAGAGGGCTCAAATCCCTCCTGCCTTCCTTCCTGTGCCCCAGAGGAGGGTCACTCTCCAACCTAGTATAGAGACTAAGGAAGGTGGGGAAGGAAGAAAGAGGTGTGAGCCCACCTGGTGACGGTGGAGGCATCCTCAGGCCAGAACACCCACCTCCACTGGTCACACCTGCTGCTGCCAGAAGGCGGAGTGAGGCATGTCAGAAGATGGGGTGTGGGCCCCTTTAAGGCCAGGGGAGCCCACCCAGGCCCCTTCATGCGGAGGCAGAGGGAAGAGTGGGAGAGCAGGAGAGCCCAGACAGCAATGTCCCCACTCCCCGAGAGGATGGGGACGCGGCAGGTGCAGGGTGCGGCTAAGTGGGACATTAGCCTTGTCTGGGAGGGTAAGTGTGTGTATGCATAGGGGAAGTGGTCGCTGGCAACTGAACCAAAGGAAAACTGCTCCCCACTTGGCCACGGGGGCCCTACAGTGGCTAGTGTGCTGTGTAGTGTGTGGTCGTGAGGCGGAGGGGGTGGCGGTGCTGGGAGGGGGTGGTGATGCGTGGGCCTGGGGAGAGGGACAGGGGCGTGGGAGCGGAGCAAAGCTGTCCAGTCCCAGAAGAAACGGCTCCTCGGGTCGGGTCCGGAGCAGGCTGTCACTGCTCCTCCTCCGAGGACTCCTGCGAGATGCCCTCTTCTTCCTCCTTCTCCTATGGGTGGGAAGGACCAGGACCAGACCCTCAGCAAACACCAGGATTGGCCCTCAAAGGCCGGGGAGGGGGTGGGGGCTGTCTGGGGGAGGGACGTGGGCCAGACTCGCCCCCCACCTCTCCCACACTCTCTGGCTCTCCAGAGAAGGATGAGATGAGTCAGGGCTGAGTGTGTGGATGACTCAGCAACCTCCATGGCCGGCTTTCATTCATAAAAAAGGAGGAATTTAAAGAGGAAAAAAAAAACTACACACATGCTGCTCACACACACAGAGCCAAGAGCCAAGAGCCAGGAGCCAGGCCCCCCACGGCCCCCAGGCCCATGGGGGGAGGAATGGGGGCAGCAGAGCTCTGAGTAGGACAGAGGAGGAGGAATTGGGAAGGGAAGGGATGGCTAGAGTGAGGAGCCCCCCCCCCCACTGCCAGGTGGTCTTGGTGCACAGGGGCAGGTGCTGGGCAGAGTCGGGTCCTGGAGCACCAGGCAGCTCTGGGGGTGGCCATGGGCTGACCCCAGGCCAGGGTGGAGAGGAAGGGGAAGTGTGTGCCGCTGGGGCTCACTCACTGGGCGGGAATGTCGGGATACCGCATGGACCCACAGCCCCCGTGCCAGGCACAAACTCCAAAACAACTTGTTTCCTGTTACTCACTCCTGGGCCCAGCCAGCGCCCCCCAAACCCCACCCTCACCCTAGTGGTGGCTCAGCTCGAGGAATGAGCACCTCGAGGAGTAGAGGGGGGAGGCTAGGGGCAGGAAGGGGCCAGGAGGAAGAAAGCTGGGATAGCCCCAACTACCCCTAGAGGCAGCCTCCCACCCCCGCCAGCTATTTGGGGCCCAAAGATGATGACACCTCTGTCTCACCGAGGTGTGGGCAGGATCACACCTCACTCCCATCCAGCACTGAGCCCCCCAGGGCTGAGCTCCTTTGCTGTTTTTTCCTCCCAGGATTTGTTCTTCCCCCGAAGAACCATGGTGAGGACAAACTCATTCCTTCCCCTTGTGCCCTCCCTTTTCTCATCTCTTTAATAGGGTACAGACTATATCTCCCCTAGAAGTTCCTGTTCCAGGAAGAGAGACAGGGAGCACCCCGCCGCCCCCAACCTCAGGGCAGGGCAAGGTGAGCATCTGGTTTATACCTGGGACCCCTCCCTTCTCACGGGCTCAGCCTGGGTGCTGGGAGCCTAGGTAGGCCCTGGGCAAACCCCTTCCCTCTCTTGTCTCTGTAAACTCTGATACCCCAATACTCCTGGACTGCAGGGCAGGGAAGGCAGTCTTTCTACAGTGGGTTTTTGGGATCAGGCATCATCCATTCTCAACACTCTCCCCAAAAGAGCCAAGGAGATGAGCAGCAGTCCCTCCTTCACTTACCAGCTTTTTGGGTCTGCCCCTCGGTTTCCTTCCTGGAGCTGTGGTGGTTTTCTAGGGGGTCAGAGAAGATCCAATAAGTCAAAAATGCCCAATGCCCCAGCACAGGGAGGAAGGCAGCAAGGAGGGGCAGGAGAAGCAGGTAACTGCCCATCTCTGCTCAGAGCAGCCCAGGACTCACCCTAGCAGGCCCACCCAAGTCCAGCTGGTGATGACTGGGCCAGCCAATCACCCCCCCCCACCCTCGACACACACGCCCCCTACTCCATCCTCCACCCATGACTCAGAGGATATGAGTCGTGTTTTAGAAAAAAATAAAAAACAAAAACAACTTTTCTGAAAGGCTGATGCCACCATGAATCTAGCCTTCCCTGCTTACCCCACCCCCTCAAGGTCCAGGGGACTCCAGGATAGACTGGAACATTCTAGTCCAGGGGTTGGCAGAGGCGCCCCCTCTAATCTTAGTCTCGTTATCTTGCCTTTCTCCAGACCAGGAGCTTCTGACTTGACTTCCCCATGGTTTTGGCCAGGACCAAGCTCAAAGAGGTGAGACTGCCGTTATCACCCACTTTCCCCAATTACCAAAGACCCATCTCTGTGCCACCAGCGACCATGTGCTGGAGGTGGGGGGGGGGGATCAGTATCGGAATCAGAGGGACAAGCCAGTCCCTTCCCAGTCCTTCCCACAGCTGCAGCCACCTGCCAAGTGCTGTGGAGAGGGACCTCCTCTCTTCATCACCTAGGAGCAGCCCTGCCTCCTCAAGCCTTACCCGGGTCTTGGCAGCACCCTTGTTTTTGCTCCCCTTTGGTCGGCCCCGAGGTCTCTTAGGTGTTGGCACTTCACTGGGCTCCTTCTGCAAAGACAGATGGTGCAGTCAGAGACAGAGGGACACAGTAGGTACCTCTCCCATCCCCTTCATAAGATAGAGACCCCACCACACCAGGGTTAAGCAAGCAACAATCACCGCTGACCCAGAAATCCAGAAGCTATGGCAGGCAAGCCTCTCCAGGTGCAAGGCCTCAGTCTGACCATCTTTGCAAAAAGGATTCTAAGCCCCTCCCCTTGCTTCCCTGAGGGTTTCAAGTGATACAGTGATGGCAAGAAGTGATGGCCAGAAGACCCCTAGAAAAGACGCTGTGGGACAGAAAGATACTGTTAGGCAGCTCTAAGTCCCAGCTCTGCCACTGACTAGCTGTAACACCTTGGGCAAGATATATAGTACCTGAGCCTCAGTTCTTCATCTGTAAAATGGTGACAACACTTACCTTGCAGAGTATCATGAAAATTAAAATAATAACGTATGTTAAATGTCTAATACTGGGCTATGATCATAAACACTAACCGGACTCCATCTCCTCCCCACCCACCCCCCTCAGACGGTACATGCTGCAGACTGCTGGGGACGCAGAAGAGAAAAAAGGATTCCTCCCTCCATAAAGGGGGCCTCCTGCCTCCACCTGCAAACCTGGACCCCCTTCAGGCTGCCTCCCAAGGCAAAGGTATTTATGCCCAGGACCCCAGGGATCCTTGCACTGAAATTTTAATAAGCTCAAGACAGAATAAAAAGCTTGTGCACAATGCATGGGAGCTGGGCAGTAAAGGTACATCAGCTACTGTTTTCGGGGTGACTGCCCACAGGCTGATTTCAGGCACAGTTTAGTAACCCAACACCATTCCCCTGCACCCATGCCCACACCCCTGACTCTGGATACTAGCATAAGCCTTCTGGGGCAGGAGAGAAAAGGGAAGGCTAAGAGAGCTAGGCAAAGGAGAAGATGAGTCCCCCTTCCCCAGGACTATGGACTTGGAAGGTGGCAGCCAAATTCCAATACACATCAGCAAAGTCCTCCGAGTTCAGATATACCAAACATCCAGAAACTGGTCAGTACAGAGAATTCTCTCCATCTTACAGGTAGGGAAGACTGAGGCCTGCGGGTATAACCTGTCCAATGTGTAAGAGGCGAGTCACCCTCAGTTCCTTTCTTCACCTCTTCTCTTCCCAGTAAAGGGCCAAAGCTGGACTTCGCCAACAGCTGCCTCTTTGTTTGGGGAGCGGCCACGTCTGTGAGAGCAGTCAAGATCTCTACCACATAACAGGTGCCCCCCCTCCAAGGCCCTACTTGGCCCAGCTCTCTAGGGTGCCTCACAGTGCCAGCTCGCATTCTCACCCCATGGGACCTTTTAGGTTGGCAGCACCAAGGTTCTGAGGGTCCCTCTACACCACCTACCCAGCATTATTCAACTTCCTGGGCCTCAATTCCCTTTACAGAGCCAGGGTCAGAGCCCAGCCCTACTTGGTGTAGCCTGTAAAACAGGTGCAACCCAGGGAACTCTGTGACTGGCCTGAGATGAGCAGGAAGTACAGAAATTAACAGTAAGTACTTAGAAACTTTTACAGCAAATTGATGAGGAATTTTTTGCATTGGATCAAATGATAAATAACCCTAGGCTTGTACGTATTTTTTTTTCTTTTATCAATTAATTAATTTTTATTGTATTTTACAAAAGTATCAGTCTATGAAAGACTGAAGAATTTCAGTTTTACCATAGTACAAACACTGGCCTAGATGACCCCTGGCTCCCTTCTAGTTTGGACTTTCTGGCATAGGCTTCAGAACTCACCTCACGTTCCTCAGCCCCCAGTTCTCTCCTGTGGTCTCAGGAGGCTCTGGCCAGGGTCAGGATGCGTGTAGGGTATGTGCACGCGCGGGCCAGGAATGATTCTGCACCCCTCCGTTCCCATTTCCGCCTGTTATGACACACTGGCACATCCCTAGCCGAAAGGGGTAAAGCAAAGCAAAGGTTCAGACACCCACCTGACTCCCTACCAGCGCTGTCCCAGGACTCACCGGAGGCTGCTTGCGTGGCCTGCCCCGCCCCCGCTTCTCAGTGCCGTCCTTTTCCTGCTTGGAGGCCAAGGGCTGGCTGGACTTCGAGCTCGATTCGCTCATCTTCCCTTCTCTCTACGGAGCAGATGGAGCAATGGCTAGGGTGCTGGAAGGCAGAAAAAGCTGTTTTAAACACCTCCCTTCACCTGCTTCTCACCACCAAGGCACACTGCAGGAACTCTGCCTGCTCCCAGGGGTACCCAGGAGTCCCACCCTGACCAGGACAGAAGGGTCTGCCCAATCCCAGCATGCTGTCACAAGGCGGGGCAGGGCCGTTGGCACTAATTAGCTCATCTCCTGTTCAGAGGGTTCTTTGTCCTGCCCCAATGCTGCCACCCCCACAGACCCGGGGCCTATGAGGTACAGCCAGCCCACAGACCCGGCTATGTGGGTGAAGCTACCCTGGGGCAAAGGTGTGGGTCCAACACACTGCCAGGGTACCTCCCTCTGTAGCCAACAGCTACCCCTTCCTTCTCTTTAAGAGAAAACCAAGGTCCTGGGTAGTTCAGAGGGGACATGGGAGGAAAGGTAAACTGAAAGAACAAGAGCCAAAGATCTGGTGGCCATGTAACCACAAAACTACCCATTTACATCAATGCCCTGCCCACCCCACTGACAATACTGCCCCCATCTGGCAAGGTCTAAGGCTCAGGACCAAAGTAAAAAGGTCCAACCTTGAGACTCCACAACCAATCACATGGCCAGGGCTGGTGCCTACCCCAGCAGGTCTCTACCCTAGAGGATTCAAAGATGGGAACAATTTGGAAAGGAAGTAGAAGACAGGAAAATGGCTGAAAGTCCAGTGGGTGAGGAGCAGGGAGGAAAAGTAGCTCAAAGCTGAAAGGTGGGCTCTTCTTCTCCACGCTGTCCGAGAACCCTGTACCTAGAGTGAGATGGCATTTTTCCCTTTAATGCTTGCTTACTAGAGGCAGGGGTTTCTGCCTCTGACCCTTCTGACAGACCCTAGCCAGCTCCCAAGGGTCCTAGCAGGGTTGATTCCCAAACCCTCGTGGTCCTTTTCTGGCACTTTCCTTCTTCTTAGAGGCCTATTTGAGTTTAAGCAGCCCCACTAATTTTGAATTTGCCTAAAATCGCCCACTGCAAGCTGAGTCTGCATCCTGTATCTGAGAACCTCTTCCAGAGGCTTAGAGGACTGTGAGGGTCGGCTTTATCTCCATCCCTGTCCCCCCAGTTACAGATGGGGAAACAGGTGATCTAGGAGACCTACGGCTCTACACTTTTCACCCAGTAACCACTCACTCCCTGTCTACTCTGGGTGAAGGGTGGCCCAAAGTGCCTCCACTTCTGAAATCATTTCATCTGTAAAATGGGGGTAATAAGGCACCAGACTCAACTACCTCGCCATATTGTTACGAAGATCAAATTTAAAAAGTTTAAAAAAAAAAAAACTTTATAAACGGTGCTACATGCGAGCAAGGTGTGCTCAACCTTCATCTTCTAAGAAATAATGGGGGGAATCTTAACTCTAGTCAAAATGAGAACTACATTTGGAAACAACTTTTCTTCCGCCTTTTCAGATCTTCAAGAATTTTTCAATTTTAACCCAATGGAAAAAAAAAAAAAGACATTTTGGTAAACGTGTGATTTTTGGAGGGCCCGAGGCCCCCATCCTCAAGCATCAAGAGGCCCCTCCAGACAGTGGGACTTTGTCTGGTAATTATTCTATTTTACAATATTTCAGATTTGGAGACCCTTTTAAACAAGGTGGTTGGTGATTTATCCTGCTCCGTCATTAGTGGCTTGGCCTGCTCTGTAATTACAGGCAGTGATTAGAATCTTGTATTACACCACAGGTCTCCCTTAAAAACTAAACATCAAAATTAATCAGCTAAATGAGGGCTGACCTCACGCAAGGTTTGCCAGGCCCCCCTTACAGAGGGGGGTTCTAGTTGAGCCAAGCCAGCCCCAAATCCCAGAGAGCCTGGGCTCGACCTGCCTAAGGATCCTGGCCAGTCTCCTTGGAAGCTTTTATACCATCTGGTGGCCCCCCACCTCTTACTGCTAGGACCCTTTACTCCACCCATCTTTCCTTCCCACCCCTAGTCAGGCCCCCAGAACCTGAATGAAAGCCTGAGGCCTTCTCTAGAGAGGCCAAGAAATGCTTGTCTCTTCCACCTGTTGCTAAACATCAGGGAGGCCTGGCTTGGAGAAGCCACATTTAGGGCCCAACCTCAATCCCTCCATTAGTAATGGGCCTGCTTTGGCCTCAAGCATGTCTCCTACCTACACCGTGTATACAGCATATGCTCCACAAATGCTTAGGGAGCCTGAAGAAACGACCCTAGGAATCATCTTGGGAGCCCCCTTCCCGTTTTTCCAAAGAAAAAAAAGTAGCCCAGAGAGGCCTGATGAGTTGCCCAAGGTCACACAGCAAGTTGTCGAGCATAGATTGGAATAGATACCTGGCGACCCCTCCAGCCCGCCACACTTTTCTTCCCCACCTGGAGGCTGCTTACGTTCCTGTGGCCCCCTGCTCCAGACCACTCCCCAGGGTGACTCTGCAAGTGTCTGTACCCGACCGTTGCAGGCCAGACGGCGGGAGTAAGGGGCCAGGGCGAGCGGGGGGAGGGGCGCAGCCCATTCCTGCAGGCGCGGGAAACCGGCGCACCCCGACCGCATGCACCGCCACGCGGGTGCACCCGGCCCCACTTCCTGCCAGAGGGGGCACCCAAGCCCGCCTTGGGGCAGGAAACCTGGCGCGCGCGGGCGCAGGAGAGGAAGAAGGCCACCTCCCTCCGCGCCCTCCCCGCAAAATAAATCCCCCCCAAAAAACAGAAATGGGGAGTCACAGGGACTAGTTCCAACAGAGCCCAGGAAAGCAGAGAAACCAGTCTGTGGGGGCGGAGGGCAGGCCTGGTCCCGGGGGCTGAAGAGGCGCGGGCCGGGCCAGAGATGGGGTCAGGGTGAAGCCCCAAACCCAGGCCCGTGATCCGGCCTCATCTGTGGAGGAGAGACCAGGAAAAAGGCCGAGGAGAATTAAGGGCGAATTGCGGGGTGCTTGCCCACCCCCTCACTTCTAGAACTTCCCCAGGCTGCGGGGGGCGCCCGACCTCCCCCCACACTCTCCCGCGGCGGCGCAGCCTGCTGCTCTCTCTACCTCCCTGCCAGAGCTCTGGCAAGAGCGGCCGCCGCGCGAGGTGCACCGAGCTCCGCCGGGTGCACAACTCGCGCTCGCTGCAGCCGCGCACCCCCTCCCCCACTGCGCGCTTTTCCCGGGTCCCCACCCCGAGCGGTGCGCCCGCGGCACG